TCCCCTTTTTCTTGCTCCTGCAGGGCTGCCATGCTGGGTGGGCACGCAGAACAGACCCCAGGCACTCGCTTTCATCGAGTTTCTGCAGCTCCCCAGGTTTCCGAGCTGTGGTTCTCTCCAGTTACTTCCTGGAGAGGTCAACACCACCACCCCAATGAGTTTTGTTGGCATCCCAGCAGGCTTGCCAACCTTGACCTCAGAGAGACCTCACATTGAGGTCTCAGAAGTGCACTTCCCTAATACACCCCTTTCCGCATTTTTTCAAGTTCCCTCTGCCCACTAAGCATTAAATCCTGGGGGAATTACTGCCTGGTTTCCGCCTCGCGACTGGGCTCTGATGCAACACACACAGCCCAACACACTGCCTCTCGGCAGCTGGCTCCTCCCCCCTCCCCAGTCTGCCGTCCCCCGCGTATCCTAGGAGTTATCTCGAGTCCTCTCCTTCTCCTTTAATTTTTTTTTTTTTTTTTTTTTTTTTTTTGTTTACAGGCAGAGGGGACAGTGAGAGAGAGAGACAGAGAGAAAGGTCTTCCTTTGCCGTTGGTTCACCCTCCAATGGCTGCCGCGGCCAGCGCGCTGCGGCCGGCGCACCGCGCTGATCCGATGGCAGGAGCCAGGAGCCAGGTGCTTTTCCTGGTCTCCCATGGGGTGCAGGGCCCAAGCACCTGGGCCATCCTCCACTGCACTCCCAGGGCCACAGCAGAGGGCTGGCCTGGAAGAGGGGCAACCGGGACAGAATCCGGCGCCCCGACCGGGACTAGAACCCGGTGTGCCGGCGCCGCTAGGCGGAGGATTAGCCTAGTGAGCTGCGGCGCCGGCCTCTCCTTCTCTTTAAATAGCCTCTTAGCAGCCAGGGTTCACTCAGGGAAACACAAACCGTGCCCAAGTGTTTTGAGCAGGAAGGGACTGAATACAGGGACTTGAGTGCTTAAGTTCTAACTTCATCTCTCCCTAGCTGTGTGACTGTGGGGCAGACAGCGTAGGCTCTCTGAACTCACAGGTTGCTCTGAGAACTATAACCTATGAAAAGTTCCCAAGGCATGGTAACTAGCTAATGCCCAATAAATGGAAGCCATTAATATTATTAGAATCCTCTAAACGTTGCAGCACACCATCTAAACGTTGCAGCACACCAAAGTGGCTCAGTTCCCCGAACAGCCTGGAGCTGAGGCAACCAGGAAGACAGGAGGACATTTCGGCAGGACGTCCAGCCCCGGGTGACCACCTAACTACACGCCGACTTGTTCCCTTTCATGATGCCATCTCCCCTCTCAGAGTTGGAACCCCAAAGACCATCTTAAGGTCTATATAAAATAAACACAAGCGAGGGGGGAGGGGTGGGCACTTGTCTCTCATCGCAGTGCCTGGGTTCAATACCCAGCTGCACTCCTAACTCCAGCTTCCTGCTCATGCCAACTCTGGGAGGCAGCAGGCCATGGCTCAAGTAACTGGGTTCCTGCATTGAGTTCCTAGCTCTTGGCTTCAGCCCTGGCCCAACCCCAGCTGTCACAGGCATTCAGGGAAGAAAATTAGAGAATGGGAGTTCTCTCTCTCCATCTCTTAGATAAACAAAAGACCAAACAACAACACACACACCGTACAAGGGAGCGAAAAGGGAAACCAGTTCTGGCTCAACCACCACCCTTTGCACAGACATAAATCTCAGCTCTGTGTGACTCACACGCCTCACTTCTCAGGCAGCAGTCACCGCACCTGCTTTAAATTACCTCCCAAGGGCATTCTGAGACACGAATGAGATCATGCACAGGAGAGCTTGTGCAGGCTGTACCCATACACGGTCTCCCAGCTGGTTCTTTGCCAAGCCCATACTGAACTCCCTGAATGTGCCCATCAGTCTCCAGCATGGTGCCTGCTTCGCCCACTGCCCTTGGAAGGGAAACTGACTCATCTGCACCTGCAGCTGGACAGCCCGAGGCTGCCAGGCCCTGGGCCACAGGACCTCCCCCTCCTCATCCTCCCGCACTTCCTAGCTACAGTCAAGGGGGCCAGGCTCCCTCCCAACGTCCCGGTTGCCCCATGGCTGGAATGCAAAGCTGTGTCCTAGGGGAGATGATCCATCCGGGTACCTCTGATTTTTGCCCTCATAAAAGCCTGCTGGGAAACCACAGCAACTCAAGTCATCAGGACCAGCGACACAGAATGCAGGGAGAGAGGCCGTGTAGTCAGGGCCACAATGGACCAGCTGAAGTTACGGTTGAGCTGCCATTGGGAGAAGGCAGAAACTGTGCATTTGTTGAAACTGAGACAGAGAAGTGAGGACGGATGGTGGTGAGAGGCGAGAGGGAGCGGAATCAGAAAGCCCAGAATCAGCCAAGAGGCAGCCAGGACAAAGTGCGCGTGGAAGGCAGCAGCCCTGGCGGCCCAGCCCTACACTTGTCCGGAGCCCAGGGCCGTCCCCACGGGTCTGAGCACCAAACTCAAGCGACAGGGCTTGGTTCCAAGGCTTCCTGTGTTCCTTCCACTGTTGTGGACAGAGCACTCGCAGGCTGGCGCCCTGTTCCCAGAAGAGGACGAGACACACTTGGGCAAAGAGGCTGCTTTGGCCACGCCCCCAGCTGAACGCAGCCTAGATCAGCCAATCGGCAGGTGCCTGAGCTAAACGAACGTTGATCACTGTGTGACACTGAGATTTCATGGCTGTCTGATATACAGCTGATAGCAACTACCCTCGGCACTCATTAAACATTTCAGTGCTGTGTTCTTATTTTTGAAGATTTATTTGTTTGAAAAGCAGGGTGACAGAGAGAGGGAAGGAGATCACCTGGGTACTGTTTCACTCTCCAAATGCCTAGGACAGCCAGGGCAGGAACAAACTGAAGCCAAGAGCCAAGAACTCAATCCAAGTCTGCAACGTGGGCGCAGGGGCCCAAGCACTTGCCCCAGCATCACTGCCCTCCCAGCGCATTAACAGGAAGCTGGCTCAGGAGTGGAGCAGCCGGGTCTGGAACTGGCACTGCCATGCGGGATGACACAGTCCCAAGTGGCAGCTTAACTCACTGGGCCACAACGCCCGCCCCACGTGGTGCTTTTAAGTGGCTGTCGATTATTTGATCATACGTAATTATTCCTTTGGGAGGGTCTCTCCTAGTTCAGATCTCCAGATTTGGCAAATAAAAACATAGCATGGTCACTTACATTTAAATATCAGGAAAGCAAAATAAGGTTTGGTAGAGATAGGTCTTGTGCCATTTTTATAACGTGTATGCGATAGTTTGTCTATCTAAACTTCAGGTTTAACTGGGGCTCCTGCATGTTTTCCAGTAATCCTCTTCCCAGCGCTCGAGGCAGCAGTGAGAGAGTTCATGTTGATATGAACTGTGACAGCACTGGCTGTCAGGAGACAGAGGCACCGCGCAGGTAAAGGTTTGCAAGGACAACAGGTAGATTGTGAAGGCCCGTGGCCCTCCCCAGTGCCAAACCCGCCCTTACAATAATGTGGGTTATCATTTGCTTGCTTCCTGTGCAGGCAGAGAGAGGGCGGAACACCCCCTCTCACTTTCACATCCAAGGGAGGCAACGTCTACATCATCCCTGCTGCCAGAGTGCCCGGAGTCAAACGTAAAAGAACTTTCCCCTGGTCACACAGCTGGTGAGAGCGAAGCAAAGCTGGAATTCAAATGCAACCCCCCCACCAAGCTACCAAAAATGTTTTGTTGTGGTTTTCCCAAAACAGAAGATGGCCAAATACATGCCAGCCATCCCATCTCTGCTGTTCCCCCTTCAAACCACTCTGCAGCACACTCTACCCTGCCCCAGAACACGAGCTGGCTAGGGCTACTGAGAAAGTGCTACAGGCAGATGGCTCCAGCCACATCGGCTCAATCACTCAGTTCTGGAGGCCCCAACAGTAGTTACCTTTATGTCAACTTGCCTGGGTCACGGGATGCCCAGCTACCTGGCTAGCATTATTTCTGGGTGTGTCTTTGAGGATGTCTCTAGAAGAGATGAGCATTTGAATGAGTGGGGTGAGCAAAGCAGCCGGCCATCCCCCAGTGTGGGTGGACGGCATCCAATCCACACAAGCCCTAAACGGAATGGAGGCGGAGGCAGGGTGAACCGACACACAAGCTTCTCCCACCCAGGGGCCTGGACTCAGCCTTCCGCTCGCCTGGTTCTGGGGTCTCTGCACTGGAGTTTAGACACTGGCTCCTCCCAGGGCTCCGGCTTGCAGACGCTAGATTGTGAAATGCAGTCTCCTAAAACGCATAAGCCAGTTCCTTGCACTTCATCTCATTGTTTGTGTCTCCTGTTGGTGCTGTTTCCTAGAGAACCCTAAGGCAAGGCCTTTCTCCCCGGTTTGTAGACAGCTGTCATCCTGTCTTCCCTCAGGCACATTTTTGTCCAAATCTGCTCTCCTTAAAAGCACACCTGCTCTAGGGATCAGGGCCCAGCCTAATGACCTCGTTTTAAAGAGACTATTTACTTGAAAGGCAGAGTGGGAGGGGGGGCAGGGGGGCAGGGGGATGAAATTGTCTTCCCTCTACTTGCTTACTCCCCAAAGGGCCAGGCTGAAGCCAGGAGCCTGGAACTCCACCCTGGTCTCCCAGGACGAGTGGCAGGGACCATCATTTGCCACTCCCCAGATGCATTAGCAGGGAGCTGGATCAGAACAGCCAGGACTCAAACCGGATCTCCAACATGGGACGTGGCTGTCCCAAGCTGTGCCACAAGGCTCACCCCATGGCTTCATTTTAAACAAAGTCCCTAGCTCCAAACCACTCGGTCTGAGCTGCTACTACGGGTTAAGACTTCAGCATGCGAACTTGGGGGCTCCCAGCACTGTCTTCTCCCCAGACTCTAACAGAGGACCGGGGAGGGGACTCTGGATTCCAGGTATGTGTCTTCTTTTCCAGAGCGGGCCTCAGGGGTGGAAAGGGCTCAGCCTGGCCCCTCAGTAACAGCCCCTGTGCCTGTCCCACCCCCTTTCTGCGGGCCCTAGCAACCAGTAGAATGTGGGTTATTATGAGGACAGAGGATTGTGACGTGGCCTGCCTGCAGAACCCGCTGGGGCCGATGTCAGTGCCTCGAAAGATGTCCCCTGGGCCCAGCTGGCGGCACGGGGGCTTCGTGGATGGCAACCGAGGACCGGGAGAACATGGAAGGCCGGGGCGCAGGAGAGAGCTGCCCAGCCATGCCCAAGCCGCTGCAGGGAGAACCCGTCCCTGAGGGGAAGCCCAGGGTCATCGTGGTAAGGGGCCTGTCCTCTCAGGGGAGACAGCCCAGCCTGGGGGCACACGCCGGACGGGCCCTGCATCCCAGCCCCACAACAGGCACCCTGGAGGGTCTTGGCGACACTGGGAAGTCACCCGAGACCAGTTTGGGCTCACCCAGGACCTCCTCGTGGGCAGCCCTTTCCTGCCTCTGCTGTGGGACCACCCCACCCCGCATCCTGCGAGTTTAGGTTCTCCCAGCTGCTGCAGACCCTGTATTTCAGCTTCCCTCTGCAGCACCCCAGGAGACCTGGCTGTTCAACCAGTCTCAAAGTTACCTCCAGGGGAGCCTGCAAATCACCAGCAGGCAGAGAGCCCACCCACGTGCAGCAGCCACAGGCTTCTGTCCCCCTCGGTTTCCAGCACCTTATAAACCCTCAGGCCCCAACAACCTATGCAGGGGTGCTTCGAGACACCCCAGTGTTTAGGGGTGGGGGACCCCGTGCTGAGTTCTCATAGCCCCTCCCTCACCTCCCTGCCCTGTCCCAGGAGGCAGAACCCCTGAAGCCAGACTCCTACGACCACCTGGAGGAGACGGCCATTTGCGAGGACGGAGGCTGCCCAGGGCCGCCCCAGGCTGGCCTCACCACCAAGGGCCAGGCGGGTGACGGACCTGAACCCGTGGAGCTGGCCCGGGCCCCGGGGGTGGAGCACAAGACCGAGACAGAGCTGGAGAAGGCGCGCATGGAGTTTGAGCTCACGCGGCTCCGGTACCTGCATGCCGAGAACGAGCGGCAGCGGCAGCACGAGCAGGTGATGGAGCGGCTGCAGCAGCAGGCCGCCGCGCGCCCGGTAGGTGGTCCTGCGGACCCCTGGTCTCCGAGGACTGGGGCTGCGGTGTCCTGGGGCCGTCATACGTAAGACGGTCCTGATGCACGGAGCCGAGGCCCAGGCTCTTGGGAGTTCGCGGGTCCCCACCCCCACCAGCTCTCTCCGGGAAAGGGAGAAACTTCCAAACCTCCTCATGGCTCTCGGTTTGTCCAAACACTCGGTGCCTGGAGCCCAGACATGCGAACCCCTGCAGGCCGACCAAGGACGCTGCTACCTCCCCGCCCCGCAGTGCTGGGGCGGCTCGGTGGGCTCGCGCTGCCTGGCAGTCAAGTGCAACAGCCGTCTTTTCACCAAAAGAAGAGCCATTGCCCCCAGCCTGTCCTAATGGGGACGAGTGCGCCCCCTGGAGGCGAGGCCAGTGATGTGATGAAAACTGTTCTTGTTCATCTCTGCCAACAAGGCCACACAGCTCTGGGCTACAACCCTGGCCCTCCCTTGTGGAAGCACACCCCTAAGGTGTGGGTCCCTGTGGGGTGTAAGGGAGCGAATGCGTGCTGAGCACTCGGCAGCCTGTTAGGTGGGTACCCCATAGATGCCAGCTGCAGCCTCGGGCAGGTGCTCACACACGCGGCCCACTTCTCCCCGTGATGAGCGAGCTGTGCTTCCCAGCGATGGTCCGAGTGACGCTCATTTCTGAGAGGCTTGCCTTCCATTTCTACCCCAGGCCTTGCTGCAACAGTCGAGGAGGATGCGACCTCACGCAGATGCCAGAGATCTCACTAGGGGGTTACCAGGGCTGCATTCAGGAGCACCTTCCAATTACATTTTACCCCGTTCACAATTCTCCACCTTGGCCAAAAAGCTGTCGTGACACACACCGTTGATGGCTTCCTAACGTTAAGATATTACACTACCTGTCGCATCTCTCCAACTGACAAGTCATCTTTTTTTAAAAAAGAAAATGGGGCTCATTTTGCATTTGTTCTCAATGAACACGTGCTGGCTTCTTAATGATTTTCCCCCTTGCTCACAAAATGCCTGCTTAATTACATACTAAATGATTTCCCTGAGCCAAGTCAAGTCTGTTAAACTGGGGTTTTCAGAGTCTACCTCCCCGAACCCCCTTTTTGCAAATTTAGACAATATTCAACTATCTATAAGATTCTGGCACATTTCTTGATGTTTTCTGATTCTGCTAAGTTCTATTTCCAGACTGGTTTTTTCTCAGTGTCCTGGGGTATAGGGGTATCAAGTTGGAGCCTGAAGCTTCTGAAAACAGACTGTTACAGTACTGTGCCTTCGGTCTGTGTCTCCCCCTTTGTTAGTTTGAAAATCTTTCTCCTTTCCGGATGGTGTGGAAACACTTGGCGTACGAGAGTGCTTCAAAAACTTTGCAGAGAAGTGGGATAAGATACGCATATGTTGGTGCCCGAAGGCCTGCTGACTTGGTGCTAAGGGTGGAGTGTGCCGAGCAGCTGTTGCTGGGGCCGTGCAGGTGGAGCCCCCACGCACGGCATCTGATCCGGATTTGCCAAGAGCCTTGTGAGGCTTCCTGGTGTAGTCCTCTCTGCTCCCTGCCTTGGACCCCAAAGAGAGACTGACTGCAATTTGAAAGTCTCAAGGTCTCACAAGTGCATATTGTCTGAAAGTTCTAAGTATACTCCATTAGCACTTCCAACAGCAAACATGGGCAGACGGCACAAGGTAGGGCGAGGCCATGGGTCTAGAGCCACACATAGTCTGTGGCTGGGTCCAGCCCTCCATTCCCATGACAGCCTGGGGTTTCTCCCTCGGGTCTCCCGCACGCCTGGCCGCATATTTGAAGATGACGTCGCTGAAGTCGCTTGCTGCCCCTGCCCTCAGTCTCACTTTGTCATCTTTGCATGTTACATGGCAGTTTCAACAATGTGACCTTGACCTTTGCTAATGGTTTACAGTAGGGTTTCACTTTCTGTGCACTTACTAAAAGGTAGAAAGTTGGCTTGACCTTGGGCTTGGAAGCACCCCCACCCTTTTCCTGGGGGGGTGGGTGGTGGATAGACTTCATCATATTGAAAGCACCCAGTCAGTGTGTTTAGAACATTTCAGTCCCTGCCTCTGGCTGCTGTCAGAGAATATGGCACAATTTTTTAAAGTATTTTTAAAAAATAAACTATGGCTGATGACTTACATAGTTGTACCAGTTTTTCCCGTACATAGGCATTGGTGCTTTTTACCGTTCAATGAACTATCAGATTCCAATTATGTAGAGTCTGGAAAAGAACAACTCATAGGCAGAATTGGCCGGATAATTCAAGCTGCTTTCCCCTGCGTCCTGTATCTGGAGCACCCAGGTAGGCCCCAACTCTTGGCACCTGTCCCCGGGAGAAACCCAACCTTGGGTCGAAGGACTAAGCCCTCGAGAGCCACTGGGCCATTGGCACCAAAACTGCCCAGAAAGCCAGGCGGAGTGGCTGGGCAGGCTTTCCAGAGGGCAGTCCCAGGACCTGGCTCCCAGCCCGGGGGACCCTGGAGCGAGGGAGAGACTGGCCACAGGGGTTCCTCAGACAGGCAGGAAAGGACACAAAACCAAAGGCGCTGGCCTCACGCCCCCGGCTGGAGGAGTGAGGACAGCACTCACGAGGTCCCTGCTCCCCACTCCCAGGAGTTTTCTGTCCTTTGCCATCTCCCTCCTCTTCCGCGGGATCATGTGAAGTGGGCGCTGTTGCCTTTTCCTTAGGTGCGGCCGACAACCTGCCCGAGGGCGCGTGCAGGAAAGAACGGCGCAGCAGTGAACCCAGCCCTGCCCGGCGCCAGCCCTGTCTTCTTTCCCCCACAGTTCCCGGGAGGCCTCCAGGACCTCCTGCTGCCGCAGAACCAGTTCGCCATGCTCCTGTGCTGTTTCATCTTCATCCACATGATCTACGTCACCAAGGAGACGCTCTTCTTCCTCTTCTCCAGGCACTACCTGTTCTGCATTGCCGCCATCTTGCTCTGCTTCATTAAAACGCTGTGGTCCTACTTCCAGGTGCCTTTGTTCTCTCCATCCCTGGGAGCCCCCATGCCGGTGGTATTGGGGTACAATGCAAGCTGGCCCCAGGGCTCCTGGTTCCTGCACACGGTACCCCCCTTCCATCAGAGCCTGTTCTTAGGGGAGGCTCTGGTGCCAGCCACTGACATCCAGGAAGGAGGGAACACACTCGGGCCCTCGTAGGGAACTGGTGGCCTCCCCTGCACCACCACGCTATACCCCAGAGATTTCAGCAGGTGGCCAGAGAGGGAGGCATCCATGGAGAGGAGGGGTCGAGAAAGCCTTACCAGGCTCACAGAGTCCTCCACCACGTATGCCCACATTCACATAGGCCGTTTCTAGGGTGTGGGCAGACTGGGAGACTTGGGCAATAAACTCCAACCCCACTCCTACAAGAGGTCCCTGACCTAGTCCCCAGTATCAGAAACGTGCGTATGTGACCACCCTGGCAAGAGAGACCGAGTTCCCCCAGTGGAGGCCCTCATCCTGCACCATCCAGGTGGGCCCGCTCTCATCACCAAGGCCCTTATAAGGAGAGGACAGGGTGGGGTGAGGGAGAGCAGGGGAGACCACGGCAGCAGGGCCACGAGGAGCGTGGGCAGCATCTAGCTGCTGGGTAAGGCCAGGTACGCAATCTCTGAGAGCATCCAGAAGGGGCCCAGCGCTGCCACCATCTCAACCCTCTGAGCTCTATGGCTGGGAGAGTAAATCTGAGCCGTTGCAAGTCATGGGCTGGCAGCAATCTGGTACAGGGGCCACGGGAAACCAACACAGGCTCCCAAGTCCCCGGCTCTTGCCAATGTGTCAGGATAGCATCACCAGCCACTGATGAGGTTTTGTTTAGCACTGGGCCCGAGCACAATCGCACACAGCAACCGTGCCAGCTTGGGAACTGCTTCCGGACCCCACCTGGTCCACAGGAAAGATGCTGGGGCCCCAGGGAGCCTGGGACAGGCTTCTCAGGACCTGCCAGGAAGGGGTTTCCTCTCGCTGCATACACCCTAGGACATCCCGTAGGGAGGCAGGCGGCAGAGGAGGGAATAGGGAAAGGGGAATTAAATGTCCTATTTGGCTCAAAGACGTTGTCAAGGCTACTTTACTGGAAAAGTGGAAGAAAAACAGGCAGGTACAACCCACCCCTCAAACCCACACACACCTCCGTACCTACCATCCACCAGCCTGAGCACACGGACTCACAGAAACACAGGAAAGCTGGCCCAGAAACACACATACCCACTCACACATACAGAGATACAAAGCAAATGCAGTTACCCACAACCTCCCCAATACACATCCAGCAACAACCACAAGGAACGCTAGAGGGCTCATCAGGGGGCACAAGATAAAGCCAAGCAACTGGCAGGTGACACAGGGAAGGAGTCCGACTCCCGCAGTCACCAGCTCTCGGGCGCCCTTCCCAACACACATCGTCAGCTGTCCTCACCCACCAGCCAAGCATTGACGGCTAGCCATGCACAGGAGACTGGACTCAAGCTACCACGGGGCAAACCCAATGAAGCTTGGCACAGCCGTGCAATCAATCGAAGCCGTCTTGAACCCTCCTCTTCCCTGGCTAGGGCTCTCCCCTAAGAGCTAGAGTACGTGTCTGTCTCACTGGGCTCTCTGATGCTCGGTGAAACCACACGAGCAAAAAGCTGCCTCGGGACTGCAGTGTCAGAGCACATTATCCTGCCAGTTAGTCCAGGAGCCTTCTCATTTTCCAACCAATTCAATGCACCCACCCCCACGCATGTGACTTGGAAGTAATAAAGCTGTCTTTTCTCATTAAACGCTCAATGATAGAATTTTTGTTCTTGGTGACTTCTATCATCCTATTTGATCTGAGATTCTTGCATGTGCTGGAGGTGAAAGAGGAGGACATGAGGATGGCAGACAGCTCGAGACTCACCTGCTTATGTTGTTACAGAGCATAGAATTGAGAGTTCATAAAACATCCCGAGTGCTGTAAGGTCATTCAGTCCATGCCCCTGTTGCCAGGTAAAACTGGACTTAAATGCGTTCATTTTCCTTCCCAATCCTCAGAGAAAGACTCCGTTAACTCCCTTGAGCAGTTAAATCAGCGCCTCCTCTCACACGGTTAACCCTGGCCGTGAACTCTCCCCCCACCCTCCTAGAAAACAAGTCATAGCCACGCCCCAAATTTAGTGCAGGTGTCTCGGTTCAAATGCAAAGCAAAAACACACAGAGGAGGGCAGAAGATGCGAAGGAGAGGAAAAAGCACAGCTGTGTGACGAGCCAGTCTACAGGTACCTCCTGGGCACCCCACTAAATGCTTACAGCGGCTTTGTCCACTAAACCCTGGGAGGTACACCTGGGTGTCCCCCTCGTCTCATGGATGACACTGAGGTGCCGGGGGTTATACCACGGACCCCAGGCCACTGCGGACCCCAGGGCCGACTCCAAAGCACGAGCTCTTGCCATGCACCTGAGACCCTGCCCTGGAGACTCACCACTTACTGGGAAGCTAAGCGGAACGCACGCGAGAGCGTCAAGAAGCTGCGGGCCAATCGAGGCCTCGTTATGAAGAAGCGCGGAGAAGCAGAACTCCCTGGAGCCCAGGGAGCCGGGGGAAGCCTTTGGGGCCTCCTCTTCCCTCTTGCTTCCGGGGCCCCACTTCCCACGTGCACCTTCCCTCCCGTTGGCCGGCACAAAGATGTTCTTTCCAAGGGCCTGGGTTTGAAGGTTGCTTTCAGTTGTAAAGGAAACCAGCCATGGTGAGTTACTCAGACAGAGAGGGAGGTTTCTCAGGTCTGTCCACGTTGCTGAAAGGGCTCTGTGAAGTCCCACAGGGCCTGGGCAGCTACTTGTCCCCACCATCCTCGGCCGCACTGTGTCAACACGGCTGCCATAGCTCCGGAGACCAAGGCCACAACTCTAGGCCTCAACAGCTGCCTTTGACAACCGTCCAAGAAGCCCCACCCGGAGATTTCTGCTTCCATCGCATTGGTCAGACAAGGTCAGATGGCTACTCACAGCTGCATCGCATCTGAGGTGTTAAGTTTTTGCCCAGGAACACTGTGTGTGCCCAGGGAACACTGTAGCAGCCTTGAACAAGATCAAGATTTTGCTGGTCGGCGGGGGAAGGAAGGGGATGAATGAGCAAATGATTGTTCACCGCCCGGCTAAGGCCCAGCACCCAGCTAAGGCCCAGCGCCCGCTCCTTTCCCGAGCTGCGGGCCTGAGTCTTGATGGGGTTGGAACAATCGGCTGGAACAGAACTTCAGTCATTTTGGGCCAGGCCCAACAGTGCACTCTGCTTTAAGGAAGAGCCCCACACACCGCATACCACAGCAGGAAGGTCATGGTTTTCCCTGGACACGTGCCTGCAGCCGCTCTGCCCTCATCTTCCTGACTTCTGCCTGAGGCTCCATGACCTTCCACCGCCAGGGCAGCAGGAGACGGGCCTGTCTGTGCTGTCAGCAAAGCCACAGCCCTCCCTGACCCAAGACACCCCCAGCAGAGCCCCGGGGCAGCCACGGAGTCGGGAGAGGAGGGACCTGCGCGGTGCACCGACTCCACGCTGCTTGCATGCTTGTAGGAGATGGAGCTCCAGATGGAGGTGCACTTGGCTTTAGCCCAAATGATGAAGCACCAGTGGTCGAGTGCCAGGCTTCAGGGGAGAAAGATGGGAGGGGCCTTCCTGCTCCCCAGGTAGGGCAGGTTCTAACCCTGAGCCCAGGTCTGGACTGCGACTTGCAGAGGCTGCCGGCACCTGCAGGAGGGCAGCGGCAGCAGGCTTGGCTCCAGGGCCGCCTCCCTGCCATGGCTGTTTTCTAACCCCACTGTAGCACGCGGCTGCCAGCAAGGCAGTTACGCTGTCCCGGCCCCACTGGGGTGACGGGTGATCCTCTAACTCTGCAGAAACAAAGGACCACAGCCTAGGGTGAGCTTTAATTGACCAAGATGGTATCCAGGGGTGACTTCATCACCTTCAAAGTGCTCCAGCTCATCCTAACATGCAGCTGGGCTTGAAAAATGGAAATCCCTGCTCCTCCGCAGCGGGCCTGGGCGCCAGCAGCAACAGCATCACCTAAGGAGCCTCTTTGAAGTGCAGCATCCCAGTCCCCCCCTCCCCCCCAAGAGCCCTGGGTCAGGTGCTTTTAGACAGCATCCGGTGACTCAGCCGCACACGGAAGCCTGCTCCTGCATCGGACTCACATCAGCCTAGCCTTTGGTGCAAAGATGCCACTGTTGACCTGGAGTGTGTTGGGGTGGGGGGAGCCATATGGAAACAGTGGGGGGAGGACAAAGAGTATCGAAGTGTGTTACCCTGGAGGAGCTGGGGGAGCCCCGACCAGCCTCTGGCTCAGGCTGGGGGTGGCAGGAGCTGGCTGAGCAATGTCAGGAAGCAAGGCTGGGGCTGCCCAGCTGCTGCTCCACCCTGTGCCCTTTCACCAGGCTTTGCGCTGAGCTGCTGAGGAACCAAATGATTGCACCCAGCACCCCGGGGATCCCCAGAAAGATCTGGAATCCCCCAGGCCGGTGTCAGCCTCTGTTTCTTTTTTTGATCTGGCTCCTGCATGTGGCTTTGGGCAACTCTTGCTAATATTCGTTCATTCATTATTTAAAGGTTGCCATTATTCCTTCCGGAAGGTTAAACATGATTAAAAGATGGGATTTTTCCAGAGGACATGGCAGGAAAGCAGAGGCGCCCCCATTTTAAGCCGTTTGGGCCAGGGCTTGCTGCATAATTTAGAGTCTGGCTTGTTTAGACTTAATTAGCCAGAAGAGCAGCAGGTGCAGGGTTGGTAGTCAGCGCTTATAAGCACTCTCCAGGGGCTGGTGGGCTTTCAAGAGTGCAGTTTGGACTTTAGGTTGGCAAATTTCTTTTGAGATTTATTTATTTATTTGAAAGAGGTACAGAGAGACAGAGATCATCCATCTGCTGGTTCACTCCCCACGCAGCCACAACAGCCTGTGCTGGACCAGGCCAAAGCCAGGAGCTTTATCCAGGTCTCCCACGTGGGTGGCAGGGGCTCAGACACTTGGGCTGTGTCCTGCTGCTTTTCCCAGGTACATTAGCAGGGAGCTGGATTGGGAAGCGGGGCAGCTGGGATGTGAACTGGCACCCATGTGGGACGCTGGCACTGCAGGCAGCAGCTTTACCCGCTGCACCACAGTGCCAGCCCCCATCTTGCAGATTTCTTACACTTTAGCAGGAGGGAAGTGCAGATAGT